AAATAAAATAGGGGCTGGAGCGATGGCTCAGCGGTTAAATGCACTGACTGCTCTTGCAGAGGACCTGGGTTCGATTCCCAGTACCCACATATGAACTATGAACTGTCCTTAACTCCAGTTCCAGGGGGCAATCTGAAGCCCTCTCTGACCTCCGCAGCATTGCACGACATGGGTGCACTCCCATACATGCAGGCAATACACTTGTACACATAAAATTAAAAAAAAAAAACAAAAAACTTTTATATTAGAATATTATGGTTTTCATTTTAACTCTTTAGAAGGGGTAAGAAAATGCACACTGTACTTCAGTACCAGCAGCATGTCCATTCTGGTTGTCACTGGACAATCAGATTCCCTTCTCTGCCCGTACAGCATGTCTACAAAGGGTAGGCAGCACATCAACCAAAGTCTCCAGACAAGATAAGTTTGGGGGGCTGAAAGGTTACTTCAGCCTAGATAAGATAGTCTAGCAATCAAAATAACCAGCAGAAACCACCTCCTAACTGTGAGGGTTCCAAGTTGCTGTGCTGTGGGTAGTCTATCCTGGTACTGCACGCTGTACCACAATCTCAACTCTCCTACATGCAGGCAGGTAGCCAGGCCGCTCAACAACACTTGGTACCTTGGAAAAGTTGTCAATTCGGAAAGGAGGAGGCAACTGTTCTGTGTCACTAAAGGAGATTCTGTATGTGGCTCCTCGGAGGGTAATTTCCACTCGTAGGAAGAAGCATTTTCCCAGGGTATCCCTGCAGAACAAGGATGTAAAGGTAGAGTTAAAAGGAGGCGACTGGCTGCAGCCCCCTTCTCATGACAGTCGACACTGAGGGGCCTCAAAGGACACCCAGAACTACAGCCACTGTGTGGACTCTGATCAAATCCAGAAAATAGAAACTGATGACATAAGCACAACATGACAATTTCATAATCTCTGAGTCTCTTTAACTGATATTTTTCTGTGAGGAAGTGCTGTGAAGGGGACAGGAATATGGCTCAATTGGGAAAGTGCTTGTCTCATTGCCCAGTGATTGCAAAATAGTGATTTCATAATCTACCACCAGGATGGTAGAGCACACCTGTAATCCCAACACTTGGGAGCTGAAGACAGGAGAATCAAAAGTTAAAGTCATACTCAGGTACAGTAAATTCAAGGGTAATTGGGATTCTGTCTCAAAAAGAAAAAAGAAGGAAGGGGATGGAGAGATGGCTCAATGGTTAAGAACCTGGCAAAGGACCTAGCTTTGGTTCCTAGCACCAACATGGTGGCTAACAATCATCCTTAACTCCAATTCCAGGGGATCTGACACCCTCTTCTGACCTCCATGGGCATTGTATATGATGGGTGCACTTACATGCAGGCAAAACACTCAAACATGTACAAATAAAATAAAAAGACAGAAAGAGCATGCATTGTGTGTGTGGGGTGTGTGTGCATACACATTTGCATTTAGACAGATTACTAGAGTGAATGGAAAGCTTTCACAGAACAATATCAATGGAGAAATTATGAAATCACTATTTTGCAATCACTGATATAACAAATAATTCAGTAAGAACCATCAAGTCATTGAGTAAAAGGTTTGAGAAAAATATAATATTGAGTCTTGAATGATCCCCCAGTGGGTTCGTCTTTACAAAGATAGAAAGGTGTCTCTGCAACACAGAAACCTGGTAGGCACCATGACAACCAGGTGATGATCAAGCTACACCAATAATGAGACCAGCACATTTATGGGCCTCCTGATGTGATGCATGGGGAACACACATCCCACACAAGATACACATGTTCCAAGAAATGTTTGGCCCAAATCTACACACAAGAAACAATTATCCAAATGCAGAGAACAGCACATTCTACAAGAAACTAGAGCCTTTAAAGATGTCACTGTCAACAGAGACAAAAGGGAGAGGTGGGCGGACTCTAGACTGAAAGAGCTGAGAATGTGTCTAGGCACATGAGGCAGATGATCACTGAGAAGACCTTAGATGAGGGACAGCGGTTGCTGTGAAGGACAATTTAGCCATTCAGTCTGTGGAGACTATTTATTAGAAAGTATTGTATCACCAGCAACTTTTTTCATGTGTATTAATGGCATTAGAGTAACGGTATTAAAGTTCGGGGTTAAAACAAAGACATTTCTCTAGATTTATAGATTTATTACAGTTCAAGTTTCATTGTGACCTCAATTTATTTTCCAATGGTTCAGAAAAGTGTGTGCACACATGTGCTCAACACACAGAGATGGTGTGCACAGAGGGAGAGGAAGGGATGGGGGAGGGGGAACTCAGCAAACTTCTGACAGTCCAGGTGTGATACAAACAGTTTCTGTATTGCTGCTTTAACATTTCATTTAAATAGTTTCCAAATGAAAAGTTGGGGAAAGTAAAAGAAATGAATGTGTACTCCTGCTATAACTTTTCACTTAAATTATTTCCAAATGCAAAGTTCCGGAAAGGAAAAGGGGTGGAAGGCACTGGTCACTCAGTAGCTTAAACTGCACACAGAAACCATCTTAAAAGAGTAAAGGGAAGGTACATGTGCTGGTTAGGGTTTTTTGTCAACTTGACACAAACTATAATCACCTGAGAAGAGAGACCCTCAACTGAAGAACTGCTTCCATCAGGCTGGCCTCTGGACATGTCTGTGGACATGGCCCATGGACATGTCAGTTTCTTAATTGGTAACCAAAGCAAGGAGGGCTCAGCTAACTGTGGACGGTGCCATCCCTGGGCAGGTGGTCCTGGGCTGTTTGAAAAAGGCAGCTGAGCAGGCCAGCGGGAACAAGTCAGTACACAGCATTCCTTCATGGTCTCTGCTCCACTTTCTGCCTCCAGCTTCCTGCTTTCAGTTCCTACCCTGACTTCCCTCAGTGATGAATTGTGACCCGGAAGGTGTAAACTGAAATAAACCCATTTCCTCTTCCAAGTTGCTTTCGGTCATAGTGTTTATCACAGCAACAGAAAAGTAACGGGAACAGGTCCAGTCATCCTCTTTCCCTTCCATCCCACCAGGACCTTCAACTTTGTAAAGTAATCATGCACAATGTTTTAGTTGAATCCCAAATTGGCCTCCCTTTTCAGAGGGCATATCCAGGCTGTCTCTACCCAGTCAGACACAACAATGGTGTCTGGAGCTACCGAATCCTCTACCTTTTTTACTCTACTCCAAATGAAATCTTTTGTAGAACATTTGCACTTACAAAAGTTCTGGCTGAAGCAGGGACGAGGGTGCCAGATCCCTACACACCTATCCTTTGATCTCAAAGGTCCACCTTGGACCAGGAACACAGCTTGAAAATCCAGTGCCCAGAAGCAGTTCACACTAGGAGGGACCAGGAGAGAGGACAATCAGAGTGGCCCAACACTAACTCCTGGAGTGCATTTAAAAGTCGAAAACTTAAGTATGACTTCAGATCTGTTAAATTATCTGTATTTCTGTTCCTGTGGCATTCTCAGTAGAGAGACGACCTCCAAGTATATATAACTGCAATCTGCTTTTAGATGTATTCAGACAGCACCCATTTCAGTCTTCAGGTTCAAAAGCATAAGATGAACACACAGAAGACCCACGTTTGTGGACTGGAAAACCAGTGTTAAGATGCCCATGCTGCCCATGCCGCCGGCACTGCCCAGCTCAGGCACAGCTGTAACACACCCCCTATGAATGGCTCCCAACAGCAGAAATAGAAAAAAATCATAAAATTCCTATGGACCTCAGGGATTCTGAACAAAAGCACAAGCAAAACAAAGCTGGAGGTCTCCTACTTGCTTACCCCACTAGGATACTACAATAATCACCACTGACGTGATCGCTTACAGACAGACCAAAGGACAGACAGAAGGCCCAGAAATGGACTCCTGTCCCCATGCCAAGTGCCTCCCAACAAGAGAACCAAGACCATGCACAACACGGTGAAAGGAGCTCCCGACACACGTTGCTGGAAGCCTGAATGTTCACACACAAACAATGAAGTGGTCCCTCATGTTATACCACATACACACACGAACTCAACCTGGATTAAACAAAGAGCTAAAACTATGAAACTCTTAAAGGAAAGCAAGGAGAAAAGCTTCAGGACACTGGATTTGACAAATGTTTTTTGGAACATCAAAAGTAACAATCAATCAACCAACCAATCAAGCAATCAATCAATAAACTGAACTATATAAAAGTAACTCTGTATCACAGAATGTGATCAGCAGAGTGAAAAGTCAACGTACGGAATGGGAGAAAAGATTTACAGGTCATATGTCTTGTCAAAGTCTAATATACAGAAGACTTTCTAGAGCTTGGTAGTACTTAAAAACAACTCAATTCAAAAAGGGGCAGAGGATTTGAGCAGATGGATAATCTTCAGTCAAGATACACAAATGGCCAACAGGCATCATAACATGATGTTTAATATCATAATCATTAGAGAAATGTGAATCAAAGCCACGGTGACAGCCAGGGGCTTAACTCAGTGGCAGGGTATCTGCCTCGAATTCATGAGAGCTTTGGGCTCAATACCCAGCACCAAAAAGACAAAGCAAAACGAAACAAGCTCAGTGAGAGGCCAGCTCACTCCTCCTAGGACAGCTACTATTAATATCCCAAACAGAAAGCTGCTAAGCATTGGTGTGGCTGTGGAGAAACAGGACCCATTGTTGGCAGGAAATAAGTGACAATCACTACATAAAACAGTATGGCAGTTCTCTGAAAGATGAAAAATGGTAAAGCCAGTGGCCTATGCCTGAAACCCTAGCTACTCAGGAGGCTGTGGTGGAAGGACTGCAGGAGCTCGTAATTCAAGGCTATCCTGGGCAGTATGCTAAGACCTCGGCTTAAAGGGAAAAAAATAATTAAAAGTAAAATGAGCATATGATTCAATAATTGCATTCCTGGGCCTACATATGAAAGAACTGAAATCAGGATCTTGAACACATACTCTCACACCTATGTTTACAGCAGCATCAGTCAAAATACCCAAAAGGTAGATGCAACCACAAATATCCATCAACAGATAAAACAAAACTGGTATAGACATGCAATGGAATACTGTTCAGCCTTAAAAAGGAAAGAAATTCAGACCTGTGCCACATAGATAAGGGTATTATGATAAGTAAAATAAGCCAAAAAGATAAAAGCTAAAATTGTATGATTCATCCATAAAAAGTACCTAGAGTGGACAAATATCTAGACACACAGTATGGATCAGGGGCCACTGAGGGCTGAGGGCAAGAGGAACGGGGAGCTGTTGGACGGGTACAGAGACCAAGTTTTACAAGAGGCAAAGAATTCAGGAAATTGTACAACAGTGTGAACATGTGTGTGCTAGTCAGCTCTATACTCAAAAAGGGTTACGAAGGTATACTGTGTTTTGTGCATCTAACATAATCAAAAGCTTTTCAGCTGGGCACAGTGATGCAGAGCCTGTGAGATCAGCTACTTGGTAGGCTGAGGCCAGAGGATCATCTGAGCCTAGAAGTTTAAGGCCAAGCTGGACAAATAGCAGAACACTTAAATCTCAGAAGAAAAAATTTTTTTGTATTGAATTTCAGGTCTGTTTCGTAAGAAGCAGCCCAAACCTGACATTGATATCAAGCCTAGGTGGACACGTGACAGGCCTGTATTAGTTTCCTGCTAAATAAATATAGTAGTAAAGCAATTCCGAATGACATCGTTATACCAATAGATGAGCGTGTCTCTCAACTCTCTTCAGAGACTCTTCCTTATGTATCAGATGCTGATTAACACAGAGACCCTCAATTGGCCAATGTGCAGAGAACAAGAGACTGCAGTGACTATCCCCGAATTGTACACCTCCATCACACTTCTGCCTCCAAAGGCTCAGGGATCACTGCAGAAGAGGTTGGGGAAAGACCGTTAAGAGCCAGAGGAGATGGATGACCACCAGGAAACAGAGTTTTCCAGACAGCTGGTCAGTTACTCATATGAACTCACAGGAATGATGAAAACATGGGCAAGCCCCATGTAAGCTCAAGCCAGACAAAATCCCAACACAGACAGGAAGTGGGGTAAGAAACCCCAACCCTACCTGAAGAAATATTGGAAATCAATAGCTGCTGGGAAGGAAGAGTCAGTTTCTTTTAAGGTGTGACTCTTGGTAAGTTAACTAGGCTCCAGTGGATGAACCCACATCAAAGAACATTTGGGGATAAAAACTTGACTCTGTGTGTGTGTGTGTGTGTATGTAAAATAGGGTACACGAAGTTGGGCAGAGGGCAGTGGGGGAGTGAAGATAGTAGAGAGGATCCAAGTATGACCAAAATATATTGTATGAAATTCACTAAAAGATTCTACTAAAAAAGGAAAAAAAAAGTTTTATAGTGCTAGGAATACAGCTCAGAAGTAGAGTGCTTGCCTAGCATTTGCAAAGCTGCAGGTTCAATCCCAGCACCAAAAACATAAATGAATAAGTAAATAAATTAAACAATAAAGCATTTGATGAAACAGAAAGGATATTAAGTTACCCTGGGCTAGCTGAGTCTGAATTTGTTTGATTGTATACTAACAGGGGCCTGAGGTTCACTGGGGTTCACAAAGAAGGTATGATCATTAGCTTTAACTGTCAGCTGGGCACAACCTAGACTCACCTGGGAAAAGGGCCTCATTGAGGACTGTCTGCACTAGGTTGGCCCATGGGCATGTCTATAGGGGATCGCCTTACTCCAGTATCAACACAAGACAACCTGTCCACCATGGGTGGCACCACTCCCTAGGAAAGAAGTCCTGAACCATGAAGGAGTGGGGGAATCACGCTGAGTACAGGTGAGCAGGTGAACATGCATCTCTGCTCCTGACTGTGGATGTGATGTGACCAGCTGTTTGTAGTTCCTGTCTTGACTTATACATAATGATGGACTATAACTTGGAATAGTATACTGTAATAAACCCCCTTTCCCCCTAAGCTGCTGTTTGTCTGGGCTTTTTAAATCTCAACAACAGAATTGAAACTGGAACAGTATCACATGAGGAAAGAGAATTCAAATGCATAAGAATAGACAAAACAACTATAATCATTACCACCTGAACACAGAGCGAAACTTAGAGCTGCAGGCAGTCACCATAGTCACCACAAGCTCATGTCGTCCTCAGGACTCATAGCTCCTTAAGATTATAGAACATAGAACTTTACAACTCAGTTAAAATTGCTCACATCCTTTGTAAGTCATGCCCACACGTCCCTGGATTTTGTAAGTTCTAAGAATTTGATCTGAGCCAGAAATACAAGCACCCACTTCACAAAGCATGGGATGGGCTTGCTGTTATACTGCTGTGCCTCAAGCAGGACTACTCTTTGCCTCTGTTTTGAGCCTCAAACTTACCTCATGTTGATATGGAAGGAATTATTCTTGTTGACTTCAAAGCCTCCAGACCAAATGCAGTTTGGAACATCCATCAACCTGACACATAACAGCTGATCATAGTCATTGCGTGGCCAGTGGAACACCACACTGGAACCAGGAAGGGTGGAAATGTAACCTTCGGGATTGGCTGTTCCCTAAAACACATGGGATCACTGGCTTTAGTCAAAAAGTCAGTTCAACTCAGTATCTAAGTCTCATGCCAAAGTTCACTGAGTCTCTAAGCTGTACCTTCTACCAGAGCTATGGGGTCACTCATGGCAAAACATACAGTCTTCAGGAGAGTGAGCCAAGACACTACACTGTGTTACCAAAGCAAACTGTTTACCTGTCCCCGAGCAAATTCCCTTTGTGCAAATGCAAGCTTGTGTGATGATTTATTATCTAACAGGTAACGAGGGGCAAAGATGACCATACACGTGTCAATATAGCGACCTCGGCCTTTCTTGACATCGATACCTACAAATGACAAGAACCATTTCATCAATTAAGCATGACCGAGAATTCATGGTTTGATAAAAATAAATAGCCTTCACAATTACTTAGTTTCTCTGAGCAAACAACTGTACCACCTGGAGCACAGAGTAAGTCTTTCAAAAATGGAAATACTAATTGCTCACAAAATATTAATCCTTATTCCTACTTGGTCTTTAGAAAGTCCCAGGGGGCTGGCGAGATGGCTTAGCAAATAAAAGCACCTGCTGCCAAGCCTGACGGCCTGAATTTGATACCTGAAATCCACGTGGTAGAAAAGCAGATTCCTGCAAGTTGTCCTCTGACCGCTACACATACACAATGGTATGCACATGCCCACACACATACATGCATGCATGTACATACATACACTAAACAAATAAACAAATAAATAAATTTTAAAAGAGTCTTGGGGGCAATATCAACATCCCATAATTGCCTGCTTCCTTACCATTTATTACAGCGACTAAGACACACAGGTATTTGGTCACGCACACCTTAGCTTCCCATTTGTGAAGCCGGACTCTCAGCAGTTCAGTACAACACACCTCTACTACACTTGGGTTACAAACTTTCCTCTGGAGAACCTGCCCTTTTTATGGGATGTAGTGGACATTTCAGAGTACTTAGCTGGATTCTGTACCAACCTGAACTAAATCTAGTACTTTCTAGAATCTAATGATTTTAGCCCACTGTCCAAGAATCCAGCTCATAAACAATGCTAGAATTTACTTATTCAATCTCCAAGACTTGCTACACATTGAAAAAATATATACCTACATAAAACAACCAATCAGAAAGAAATCTCGAAACAAGTTCCACATAAAGAAGAATGAGGTATCACTGAGTTACTTTGTAAAATCTGAAGACAACTGAAAAAATGCAAGACTCAGAGGGATGAATCGTTCATTCACTCAGACAATAAATATAGCAAACATCCAAAACACTGAGCTGAGTTCTGGCTACGCAACAATAAAAATACAAAGTAATGAAACAACGATACTGACTACACTGTCCTTCATCCACGCTGGGCCTTCTGTGTGGCTTCGCAGCTAATGTTGTAGCACCCTCTGAAGGAGGGCTCTCGTCACTGCCACCGCACACACCAGGAAACTACGGCATGGAAAGTGGTGTGGGCTGTCCTGGGACATGGACTTAGAACACAGCATGGCTCCGCACGCCATGCAGTTCTAGGGTAATGGGACACACGCCTACCACTTCTCTTTCTGGGACATGCAGAAAAGCTTTAGCTGCCAGGAATTAACAGCATCAGCTTTAGTAGATCTTTGTATTTGTTTGTTTGTTTGAGACATGGTCTCACTATGTAGCCCCTGGCTGGCCTGGAACTCACTAAGTAGACCAGGCTGGCTTTGATCTCAGAGATCCACCTGCCTCTGCCTCTGCCTCTGCCTCTGGCTCTGTACTGGAGTGCTGGGATTAAAGGTGTGTACCACAATGCCCCACGGCTATTTGAGTTAGTAGACTTTAACTAATATAAAGTCCACTTATAAAAGTTGTGCCTAGCTGGGCGTGGTGGCGCATGCCTTTAATCCCAGACAGAGACAGGGAGTTCATGGCCAGCCTGGCCTCTACATAGTGAGTTCCAGGCCAGCTGGGGCTACAGGAAGACCCTGTCTCAAGAAGACAAAAAAAAAGAAAAAAGAAAAAAGAAAAAGAAAAAGTGTGCCTAATTTAGAAGCACAAAGGGAGTGGCCTAAAACACTGTACACTCCTTTTTGGGAAAAGGGACTTTGTGTCTCCCTTTTCATCCTAGATATCTCAGACAAATTCCCAATAAATTGAGCTGAGATCAAGATGCACGATCAAAAGGCACACTTGGGAGGCAGGGGCAAGCAGATCTCTGTGAATTAGAGGACAGCCTGGACTACATTGTGAGATCCTGTCTCAAACAAACAAAAACACAAAAAAATCCTCTTTTTTGAGGTGCGTGAGACCAGCTGGTGAGGCCCTCACTGGCTTTTCAGTTTGTGATTGCGCTTTAAAAGTTCCTGAAAGGAAGCGAGTTCCATGTGCTAGTAGAGACTTCCCAAGTTGCCTTGACAGAACACACATGAATTTCATAAACCTAAGTCGTGAGAGCCTATCTCACACCTTGTTCCCTCTTTTCCTTCCCTTGCTAGAAGGACATAACTCAGCTCACAGTCCTGAGATGAATGCTCCTAACACATATGTTTACACATATATGCACACTTACACACATGCTCATGGCTGGATCCGCTTGTCTACCACAACTCTGTGGACCTCAGTAAGAGCTGTGCTAAGAGGAACAAGCTTCATTTCTCTCCTTCCCCAAATTTGTCCCAAATACAGCTTTCAGCCAACCTGAGTAGTTTGCTTTGGAAAACACATTAAGGGCAAGACAGCCCGGCAAATGCCAAACCCAATGTGAAGTGATTCGTGCTATTCAAGGGGCAGAGTAAACAAATGTGAAAAGAAAACCTCTCTTCAGCTCATTTCCTTTAAAAATCTTGATGTCAAGTGTAAGGGGGCAACGTTCATGCCAAAGGAGCATGAATGTAAATCCAGCCTAAAGACTCTGAGAAGGAAACACCTGGATGATCTTTTCCTAAGAAGCCCTCCATCAGGGCCAGTGAGATGGCTCAGTGGGTGAAGGCACTTGCTGTCAAGCCTGACATCCTGAATTCAATCCCAGGACCCACATGGAAGGAAAGAACCGACTTCTGCAAGTTGTCTTATGCACAAGCACACAAACACACTAAATAATATTTAATATTTGATAATTTAATATTTGATAATATTTGATATTAATAATATTCTAAAAAAGATCAAAAAAATTCTACAATAGTGTAATTTTTTTAAAACTTTAAAGGAAATCCTCACGCACTAAATTACCCTGAGTCTGCAGGATTCAGGGCAATCTGCACTGCTGCAGGGCCCTCTCCTACAACATGACTGTTTCGACCCACAGTGTCCAGCACAGCAGCCAATAGAGAATTTGCTATTCAAGTTCATGAAAATTGAATAAAATGAAAGCTGCCCCTTGGTCAGGGCCACCACCCTTCTCAGGAATGTGTGCTCAGGTGTTGAGTGGCTGCATGTGGCTTGAGCTACTGTGCTGGGTAGTGCACAAAAGCACACTCCATAGAAGTCTCCAGGACAAGGCAGCGCTCCACAGTATTCACAGCAGAGAGTGGCTGGGAGGCTCCAGGCAATGTTTTCCTATGAGGATGCACTGCTAATATTTTAAGGCCGGGGCATATTTAAATCCAACTAACCCTAAGCCTTTAGGAAATGTTGCACATGTCCTCAGGTGGCTGAGGACAATGGGTACAGTGTCATCCCTTGTCATGCCTAGGGAGACAAGTGGGTTTGGGGCTTTCTGATAAGCACAGCCCCAGTGCAGTTTATTATATTTTTAGCCTTAAGTTAGCACTGTCCTTATCCTGCTCTGGCCCAGACCTCCCCTTTGCGTCTGTGCCAGTCATTCAACCTTCCAGGGTGAATCTCCAGGTTCCAGGGTGAATGATGTTTCTTAATCCCTTCTGGATTGGCAAATTTTAATGAATGTGTGGGAACACTTAGAGGATGAAAGCATTCTGAATGTTCCTATTATTGCCCTGAAGAATCAGGAACCCGAGCCAAACTGATACCCCCAGACATAGGTGAGCTCAAGGTTAGATAGAGGTCAGAAAACTGGAACCTGTAGCCAGGCCAACATGCCTGTTGATGGTCCCAATCCTCCCAAGGCCCCAAAGAGAACCCACCAATGTTGTAGATCAGCCCTGGGCGGTTCCCTTGCTGGATGACTTTCAAAGCTCGGACGCCACTGCCACCATCCAGGGAGAAGCCCTGACACCAGCCCGGCATGCCTTCCGGATGAATCCCTTTTCCAATTCTCATTGTGCAGCTGTGGGACAGAACAGCAAACATGTACACATTCACAGCAGACTCCCCATCAGAGGACTCACACCAGGATTCTTCATAAGCCTAATACAGAAAATTCTACAATTTCTATGATTTCCTGAAAGTGAAGAATTCAAGAAAGACTAAGAAAAAGGGAACAGCAAACATGTACACATTCACAGCAGACTCCCCATCAGAGGACTCACACAGCAGTGTGTGAGATGAACCAACATCTGTAGCTAAACACTTTGGGGAAAAACACCAGGATTCTTCATAAGCCTAATACAGAAAATTCTACAATTTCTATTTTCCTGAAAGTGAAGAATTCAAGAAAGACTAAGAAAAAGGATGTAAGGAGAGGCAGCTGCTGGTGTGCCACTTCTAAGAACTGATCTGATCACAACCACAGATCACTGAGGAGTCAGCTGGGTTGGTCAGAGATCCTATAAACACAACTCCACAATATATACTCCAGCTCTGCCTCTAACAAAGCAACATAACTTTGGGAAGGGAACTCAGTTTCCTCATTTTGAGATATAGTAATAGTTCCTGCCCTCCCTAAAACCATACAAAAGCATGTTGTGAAGTGTGAATTCCATAGTAAACCAAACTATGAGCAATGCCAAGTCTCAGATCTAAGACTGCCAAGTCCTTTCAGAGACAGCATGAGAGAAAATGCTACATAAGTCAAGTAACCGGCCATGTCTCCAACAGCTCAAACTCCCCATGATGTAACCCTAATCTAGACTGCAGCCATCCACGGTAAACACATCCGTGTCAATGGAGTGCCACACTCCAAAGACTGTCCTATGGTTGCAGCAGAGTGCTACAGGCGATGGTGAGCGGTACAAGACATACTCACTTACCTTAGCATTAGAACTCCAGATGTCAAAACCAAGAACAAAAGGGAATTAATGTCCCTACACACCTTAAAAAGACACCTCCCCTAATCTTCACAACTGCTGCTTCTCCCCACCTCGAGATGGCAGTGTATAATTTAAGATGGTTCAACAGCACATTTTGGGTTTCAGAACCTCCCAGTAACAGCCCCAGCTGGATTCCTAGAGCTGAAGGCTTCACCAAAGGCAGTCTGACTGCTCTCTCATGCCCATCCTCTCTAGTACTGAAAGCCGCTAGCGGAAGGGACGTGGAAGGAAAAGGACACCCAGGTTTCTTTTCCCTGGCGCAGTTACAAATAAGAGCCCTACATCAATATGTGCAAAATAAAACTAGCTTTCATTATAAATGCATAAATGGTTTATTTTCAGTATCAATTAACATATACCTTGGGTTTAAAAAGAAAAATCCCATTAAGTCAGGGTTTTACCTCTGTCAAGTCAAGACTGTCATCTACGGCATATTTCTACCTACACAGATAGATTATGGCTCTGCCAATCTCCTCCACCCTGGGAGTGTGTTGCCCCACCCACCTGTCACTGTACTCACAGGCTTGGCTGCTCCTTGTCAGCATAGCAGAACAGGAGAGGGCTCAGGCTCCGGGCCAACTCATGCTCCTCAAACTGGCCTGCAGCATCTGTCTTTGCATTGTCCTGTCTGAAGATCAGTGGTAACCCTTTAGGAAGGAGGGAAAAGTTTATATCATTCCCACCCAGTCTACCTAAAGAAGATGCAAACGGTAAAAGGGAAAAAACCATCCTGGGAGAGCAGTGAAACTGGAGTCTATCAGTGGGCTCAGTCTACCATCTGAAAGGACTTTGGGAGATTGGACTGTTGATGTAATCTATCTGCATTAGTTAGCCGAGCAAAGACACCCAAATCCCCATCACCCACATCAAGGCTACTGGATGGCCTCTGTGCACACCTGTTTTATTGATGAGCCAATATGGTGCAGAAATGAAGATCTTTAAGGATCCTGCTGCGCGACACACAATCCGGATGGTGAGGTTGAGCTGCCGCCGGTTAACGTCATAGAGTCGCATTCTGACCATGTAGTTCTGGGTCCCAGGTGGAATGAGCAATTCTTTACAGAGGGGAAAGTTCTCCAGTGACACCCCTAAAGAAGGTGCAAGCTATTAGATTTCTGGATTCACATTGGCACTTGTCAAAAGCAGCCTATAGCAAAACTAAGTTGAAGTGCTTTTAGAGAAATCGCTAAGGATCTCTGGTAGAAATCCCAACAGCCATTTTCCTCTTAACTGAATAGGGTAAAAATAAATATGAAGCAAAATCAGAGACTAGAAGTCATATTTGGAAGCCTACACTGCATGATGAATGTTATCACTGAACACAGTTAAGTCAGTCTCATGTTCTAACCCTAGCACTCCATCAAGCCCTCAGTCACAGTTATGGTTGGTGGTTTCAAAAGACAAAATGACTTCCTACACTCACACACTGAGTAAGTGATACCAGAAAATGGGCTCCTTGCTAAGCCCTTAGGTCTGTCCAATCTTCTCTTTTGGAACTGCATAACAGCTCTGAGCTGGCTTACTGAGAGAGCACACATGCTACAGTTCCTTTAAGGCGCACAGAGCAGGCACAGAACACTCCTTGGTACTGTCAAAAGTTGCTACAAACGATGCTGTGGCAACAGCCTTACCCAGTTCGATGTTCTGGGATGTGTCAGCTGTGTGGAGGGCTACCTCTTTGCCAGGCTTCAGGGTCCCGTTAATTGGCATTCCTTTTACATAAAAGTCAAGTTCACAAGGCAGCAAGTTGCAGATGACCACTGTTGGCAGGAGATATATGGTATGTCCAGGCTGTCGGAAAATCTGTTTTGCACTGTCGGAAAATATGTTTGAGGGCATGTAATCTGGATAATTCTCTTTCTTTATGGCTACACAAAACCTGTGATGACAAGATGAGATGAAAATCAGCCTGAATAGAGAACTGAAATTTTCTTCTTAGCTGAGTAACATTTAAAAAGGTTCAGGTCCATCAGATGGCTGCAACCTTTAATCCTGAGACATCTACTGAGATATAATATACAATAAAACTAACAGAATTTGAATATTCAGTTTTAATGGGTTTGGGCCATTACATGCTCCTGCGCAATCATCACTCCAAACACCTTATAGACTATTCGATCCCTGAAGCTCCCTTGTTTACCTTTCTAGTCATTATGTTCTCCTGGTCAATAAAGTAACCACTTTCTATTAAACATGCCTGCCTGCAAACTACATATAAATGAGCTCATTCAGGATGAACCACTGTGTCATCCTGATGGACCACTCTGTATCTGGTTTTCTCTGCTTTTTTCTTGCAAGTTTAACAAGATTCGTCCGTATTGCATGCACTGTGTTGTAGTTTCATTCGCTCGACGTGAAGAACAAACCACTATAACCAAAAGCAGCACAGGGGTAGAAAGGTTTATCTGGCTCACACTTCCAAGTCACTGTCCATCACTGAGGGAGGTCAGGGCAGAACTCAAAGGCAGAAGCCATGGAGGAATGGTGCTTGCTGGCTAACTCACTGACAGGCTCATGCTTGGGTAGCTTTCCTAAGACAACCCAGGATCACCTACCTGACTAGGAACTGGTGCTGCTCACAGTGGGCTGGGTCTTCCTATGTCAACTAACAGTCAAGCCTATCCCCACCCTCCCATCCCACCTCAGACATGCCCACAGGCTAATCTTCTATAGGTGATTCCTCAGTCAAAGATTTGCTCTCAGATGACTCTAGGCTGTGTCGAGTGGACAATTAAGGCTAGCTAACTTGGACACATAACATTTGATTATTTTTTTATTGCCTAGACTTATGCCATGCCATGAATCATTCTTTATTCAGAATCTTGTTGATACTCAATTTCCAGTTTCTGGATAAATAAAACTTCTAAGAATTTTTAGGACATATATTCTCATTTCTTTTAGGCAAATACCTATAAATAGCCTTGCTGGATCTTTTAAGGTTTTTTTTTTTTATTGTAGTTTTGTGGGGTTTTGTTTATTTAATTTTTATTTTATGTGTATGCATGTATTGCCTGCATGTATGTGAGTGCACCCGTGTCGTGCAATGCCCGCAGAGATCAGGAGAGGCTGTCAGATCCCCTGGGACTGGAGTTACAGACAGTTGTTAGCTGCCATATGGGTGCTGGGATTCGAACCCAGTTCTTCTGCAAGAACAACCAGTGTTCTTAACCGCTGAGCCATCTCTCCAGACCCTGGATCTTTAAGTTTTTTAAGAAACTGTCATTCCTCTCCAGCATGGCTGCACCATTTTATACTCCCATCAGCATTTTAGGAGTTGTTCCACAACTTTGAAAGTAGTTGGTGCTGCCAGGCTTTTTTATTGTATCCATTCTAGACAGACCAAAGAATTGTTCTCTGTGATTCAGGTCTGCATTTTCCTAATCATAAATGACACTGGACATCTATCTTCTCATCGCTCTATTGGTAATTTTACTTTTTTCTCCAAATTGTCAGTTCAAGACTCTCACCCATTCTTTTTATTGAGTTATCATTTCATTGTTGATTTGAAGCCAATATATTCTACATAAAAATTCTTTGTCAGATATAGTTATCTAACTTTGCGGATCATTGCTTCCTTTTTTTTTTTCTTCAGTAGGATTATGCCCTAGGCATGAAACTGCTTTGGCCACTGAGCCAGGCATCAAGCTAGGGTGAACAAAGGACTACCATCTGCTCTGCCCCTGACTGATTTAAGAACACCACCAATGAGGTGCATCTTTGCCCACTGCCAGGGGGTGATCTGTTCCTTTTCTAATTGCTATCTACTGAAAAACCAAAAACAACTTGAAAAATACAATTTCTGACTTCTTTTAGGGGGTGGCATTTTTTTGCATAAGAAATTTTTGCCTACCCCAATGTTACCGAGATATTTTTCTATAACTTTTTCAGAATTCTAGGTTCTGAGTTTTAGGTGCAGATATGAGGTCCACCTCAGTCTACTTTTTACACATGAAGTGAACTGGGAGCTTATGTTTTCTGTGCAGAGTCACCTGCTCCATCAATGTTTGCTTGAAAGACTTTCTTCTGCCCCATCAGCTTGCCTTGACTGAAAATCAAGTCAGTCAGTCAGTCAGAGAGAGAGAGAGAGAGAGAGAGAGAGAGAGAGAGAGAGAGAGGTTTGTAACCCAGACTAGCCTCAAACTCACAAAGCCAAGGATGGCCTTGAACTCCTGATCCTCCTGCTTCTACCTCTCAAGTGCTAGGATTACAAATGTGTGCCAATATGCCCAGCTTTTACTAGATTTCTTTCATTGTTTATTAGTTTTTCAAGGTTAACTTAGTGATTTCACATGTTCTTATTTTCTAATAAGAACATTACAAGCTGCAACTTCGCTTCAGGAACTGCTCTTGCAGCATCTGCCGCATTTAACATAATTGTTGCTGCTGTTGTTCAATTCAAACTTTGTCCTAATTTTCTTTGTAATTTCTTGTTTGACCAGGGGTTATCTGGAAGTACATTCTTTAATTCCCAAATACTTGGGAATTTTCTAGGCATCTTATTGCTGTTGATCTGACTTCGCTCTATTAGGATCAGGAAATGGATTCTGTATGACTTCAATTTTTTGAGTCAAGGTCTCCCTCAATTTCGACTTTTTAATATTTGCTGATCCTTGTTTTATGGCCTGACAGCTGTCATGTCTTGAAGAAAGCTGCACACACACACTTGACAGTGATGAGCGGCTAGAATCACGAGCTAAGCGCTGCCTGCACATTTGCCAACTGAATCAGCTAGTTGATGGCACGGCTGGAATCGTTTATAGCTTCATTAGTTTTCTGTTCGATAAATTAGTGAAAGGAAAGTGTTAAAGTCACTAACTGTGATTTCGTGTACACTCATCTATTTCTCTCTTAAGTCTCCCTACAACTGGCACACTGGAGAGGGTGCACTAGAGTTCTCCATTCTATTCTTGCACTTCTTTTTTAAGCTTAAAATAAATGAATGCCTATCTTCATTATAAAGAAAAGTAAAGCTAATGATCTCTCACCTAAATAAGTTTAAAGTCTCAAGTTTATGAAGGGCTAAAGACAGCAATCCAGTATCTCTTCCAACACTGAAACTAGTAAGACAGCACTTATATGCAAGAGAAGGGGAAATGTGAGTTTAAGTGGCAAGGCAATTTTGTCAGTGTGTTCAGGAAAATCAGTACTAAGTGCATGAACCTTTATCCAAAATAATTCAAAAGGATTCACGCAGAACAATTCCAGCCCCAGCATTTGGCCTCCTGATTTAGATACAGGAGCTGGCTGGTTCTTGTTTCACTCTCTCTTCCCTACACTGTCCTCTCTCAGTGCAGATGTATACTTACAAACTTCTAGTCTTATTTGAGTGAACAGAGTGTTTGTTGGTTGTTCCCCCATAAACATTAGCTAAGTCCCCCTTCTCCCTGCCTGGGCTCCCAACCTCCTCCAAGAATTATCCTTTGAATTTTCACGAATTCTTAACTCAAAAACTTCAGGAATGAGAACTTCAGAGTTTCAAGTAAATGCAAGGGAATCACTGGGGTCTGCAGAGTCCCCTTAAAGCTGGAAAAGCAAATGCCCCAGGCCATCCCGATGGCATCCACACCTGAAGAACCGGCTTTTCTCGGTGTCCATAGAATGGCACTCCCGTTTGCTGCTGCTGACCTCTGCTGTCTTCACTACGTTGGTCCAATGAATAGGAGCCTTACAGAAAAACACACCTAGTCCTTTGGGTCGGGCCTGCAGCCGCCAAGAAGTGAGGTGTAAAGGCACAGCAAATGAGTCCCCTGGCATGATCGCAGGAAGCACCACTGGTTCTGCCACAGAAATAAGGATTAGCACTTTGGGGGATGGTCCGCCACTCCAGAGACTATCTCAGGGCAGGAAGCAAGACACACTGTGCACACTGACAACTGGGGACATGCCCACTAGGGAAAGTCACGACAATAGTTGGCAACACTTATGCTCTAGACCATCTGAACGTACTGTCGGGAGCCGACGGGCTGTCCAGCCGTAGTTCCATTGGAGTCTCAAGTCTGTTCCTCACAATGAGGGCTGACCGGACAGTAATGACTTTCCGAGCACTGCCTTCCATTGTCACTGCAAACACTACCCGCACAGGTGGGAGTGAAGAGAACTGTAAAAGACAGAAACGAAACACTGTGTGTTTGAGAAAAACACTCGGTACATAAGTTCCACCAGAATATGAGACGTCAGAAGCCCTGTTGTCACTGTAGCTCTTCAGTAGGTGACTATTTAACCCCAAACTCATTCAGCTCTAAAGGAAGCCAGCTAATAAATGTAAATATTATTAAAGAGAGCCAACTCTAAAAAGTGTCTACAAAAATAATCTATTCAGATGTGACAATACAAAGTATGTCCCCAAAGAAACCATCAGGCAGGGCTGGGGATGTAGCTCAGTGGTAGAGTGTTTCCAAGTTTGCATGCAGGCAGCCTTGAGTTCAATTTCCAGTTCCGCAAAGGGAAAGGCAGGGAGAGAGGAAGGACTAACCACAGACCTCCAGACATATTAGAAAGAGCTTCACCTAAGATGGTGATATTTCCCAAACTTCTTGCAATTTGGTGAAAAAAAAAATTAAAAAAATATGCTGGAAATTATCCTTTATACATATCAGTTCTCATAAAGAAACTGCACACAAGGTTTGTTTTCAGTTCTCCTGGAGGGAAAAGCCAGCAGTCATCTGAAGCAACTAAAATTAGAAGCACTGAGGTAGGAGTTTGCAAGATACTAAATGATTTCCCCCCCATGGCATTTCCCTTCAGATTAAGGCTGAGAAAACATTCCTTGAACACTAACAGTGGGTTGGGTCCTGCCCAAACACACACAGAAAAACAGAAGGAAATCTTCTGAGATTTAGACCTGCCTCTGTAAACACAGTGTATAAAAAGCACTGTCTGTTGCGCTATCTTCGTTAGGAGCAAATGACTTCTCTTATTATAAGTGTGACTTGACTTGCCCTTTAGGACCCATATCTACTATTTATTGACATGCCTATAGGAAAATCAACATTCTTATTTCAAAGAACTTTTAAAATGATCTTCTTCATAATAACCTTCCAGGCCCTGCTTCATAATCACATTTCATTTTTCATGTAGCTCAGACTGTATGGGGCTGAGAATGACCTTGAACTCCTGATCCTCCTGCTTCTATGTCCAAGCCCTGAGATTACAGGCATGTGCCACTAAGCCTGGCTATAATCATCAGGCTGCTATGAATAAGACAGCAGGGCTCAGAAACTCAATATATGGGAGGAGATGGGGCGATTTGCTGCTGGGCTGCAGCTGCTACGCTGTGCTCTACATGTTCACTCACATTCAGGTCCTTTATATGTGCCATACCAAGTGACAGACTTCAAATTCCACATCAGATACAGCAAGAGGTTTCTAAAAGCATGACTCACAGACCGTGCTGACAATGCTTATTTACTAGAGAAACAGCAACACCATATCCAAGGGTTTGATTCTGTCAACTTTTTTTTTTATTTGAAGCAAATAGTATGTGAAAAATCAACCTAATAAACAATAAAAATGCTTTACTTCCAACCGAGACTTTCAGGAAGCCCAAGAGAAAAAGCAAATCATCATTTTCC